TGGGGGGTTTGGGGAGCAAGTGGGGGCTGGGGCCAGGCAGGACCCCCCATGGTCCTCTCCCCCCTCCAGTAGCCCCCTGCAACCCTCTATTTACCTGGCACAGAACCTGGGTCCAGGGCCCTGCAGCCTGCACGCTGCTTGCCCTAAATGGGCAGGCAGCTTGCTTCAGCACCAGGGCAAGGGCCAGCCATAAGAGACACTCTGGCTAGGTGCCAGAGCAGCTCTGTGGCAGACCCGAACTCCAGTTGCCTCATGGCATGGTCCGGAACCATACCCTGCCCTGCTTTCTTCACCCAGGTTTTATTTTGATACAAGCAACCCCTGCTTAACACTTTTAATTGGTTCCAGAAAAAGCAAGTGTTAAGCAGAACCGCGCTAGGTGAAACCCATTTCCCCATAGGAATTAAGGTAAATAGAGGTAATTGGATACCATCACTTCTTGCCACAGCTTCTCGCCACCACTGCTGCCTCTCCCTGCTCCACCGCTGGCCACTTTGGCCCCACATGCCAGCCTGCTCCCTGCGCTCCTGCCGCTCCACCCTGGGCCCCTGCTGGCCCTGGCCCCAGGCATTGGCGGGGGCCCCACGCTCATTCCTGCCCCCTCCCACTCGCTGCTTCTCGCCGTCACTGCTTCTCCGCACCCCCTGCCCACATTCCTGCCACCCTGCCCTGGGCCCCTGCTGGCCCTGGCCCTGCGGCACTGGTGCAGGCCCCACATTCACACCTGCCCACTTGCTGCCACTCACCACTTCTCACTGCTGGTGCTGCCACCTTGCTAAACACTGTAATGAAACTGGCTCAGCGCCAAGTGTAATAAGGTATGAATTTTAAATGAGTGCTATAGCGAAATAGTACTAGGTGAAACCACGTTAAGCAGGCGTTGCCTGTACCTAAATATCCAGGTACCAAATTTTGCCCCCACGCTGCAAATATGCAGCACGGGGAATATTTTTTTTGTTCCTGCACATGCGTCTTGCAGCATCTCAAAGGGATTTGAGACACTGCAAGAGGCACATGTGTGCTCATCTGGACACACCCTATAAAGCTGCTCTTAGAATGTTAATATGGTGGAAACAAGAAACACAATAAGAAAACTCAGGGGACCAAATGATGGGACCATAATATAAATCTTTCTCTGTATAGTGTACATCCATAAATAGTAGTCATGTTACTTATTTGGGATTCTAATTTTGTATCCTGGAGCATGGAGTTTTGGTGGGGGAGGGAGGGTGGCTTTTTGAGCCCTTGAATAGCCCATCTAATGCAGACCAACCCATGAAATTATGCCTATTGAATTTGATTGTGTATCTTTTCTTCTGCCATAACTTCTGCAATGATACTGTGTTCAGTAAAAAATCATCTCTCTAAATATTGTATTCTTAGTTATTGTGGTACTGGAGAGGAAGAAAAATGTAACAAGTTAAAGTAATGAAAACCTTGTATACTATTTTGTTCAGGGCAAAAGAGGTACTTTGGTTGTTTCCTGGTAGCACGAAAGATACTTTTGTTTTCCATTAGTTTAATTTGAAATTCCTTTAAAAAAAAAAAAAAAAAGCCTTACTGGTTTATGAATCTCTTCCAAAATGTTACAACGTACCTTGAATCCTTACAATAGGAATTGTTCCCATTTTTCATTTAGTATGAACCCATTAGGCACTAGCATTTAACCACTGGTAAGCCTTCCTGTATGTGTGTATGTATGTTAGAAGGGTTTAAACAGAACATTCGTTGCCTGCCCTTGCTATGATGGGCTCAAACTAATCCGTTAGTTCCTCTTTCCCTTCCAATATATTAGGGGAAAATATTAATATAATTTCTAATCTTGAGGTTGAAAAGAAAGCACTGTTTTGACATCTCTTTATGAATGGCATTTGATTTTTCCATTTGCAAAATATCAGCAATCCAAATTCACAGTGAATCACCTTCCAGCAGAGGTGTTAAACATACTTTCTGTCCAAATCAGGGCACCCGACCCTTTGGTCTTTTCACAAGCTGAACCACTCGCCTCGTGGGGCTGGATTCAGCCCATGGGGTTTTTGCCATGGCTGACTGACCCCTTGCACAGAGGCATTAATCCCTGTTGTTTCAGCACAGCTCCAGAACCCAAAGTTAATATCATTCACATTTTCCCCTGTTTCCCCATGTACCCCATTGGAGTTTCTAGTTGTCCCTGGTGACTAATACCTATGTCAGGGGGAAACAGGGAGGAAAGGATGAATCACAGTGACATTATTTCCCTGGGTTACAGAGCTGGGCCTTAATGGTAGCTCCAGCAGCTGCAGGAATTAATACTGTGACCTCTACAGGGCAAGCAGTACAGCACTCCAGTGCATTCATCTGTCCCACTTTACCTCACAGACATCTATTGTTTCATATTCTCTGGAATTACGTATCCCTGGTGCTTAATATTTCTAATCTTCTTGGTGATATTGACCACTTGCACACTATCTGACCTAGCTGCAGAAACCAAATTAATTTATAATCAGAAGTATCAACACATTTTTGAACCAGTTCACCCTTTTGCTAGCAGAAATTTTGGTGCCGCACAGTGGCTTACTAAATGGAATCTAATGAATAGCACAGTGGTGATGGGGCATTGCTAAATGGCACAGCAGAGAGTCTTAGGGATTTTTTGTTATGGTGTTGGGGTAAGTTCTGTTATGGTGTTGGGGTCATATTGGTTATATCACTTCAGATAATGTTATTGTTAAACTTGCAACTTTAATGTTGTGTCGTTTAACCTTCACTTATTTTAAAGCAGTAATTGAGTTGATACTATTACTTTAAAGGGCCATTACTAAACAGAAATAGTATATGCCCTGTGGTTTTTGTTCATGACTGAGCACTGCCTGCTTCCTGTATAAGGACACCAAAAATATTGTGAAATTAATTTGTGAAGCACTTCTTACAGTAGGAATTCAACACACTAATTTGCAGGAATGTGTTCTATCTTTACTATGTATCTTTTCTTTTTAATGAATTCATTCTACACACTGTTGTTCTGTTCGATCATATTTTTCAATAGTATTTCTTTCTGGATCATAATTAAGCCTGTTACACTAACAGGGGTTTAATAACAACTATCACACTTGGAAAAATTTACTAGGCTATAAGAAATAAAGAGAGATCTTAAATGATGTTTTCCTTTTTTTAGGCTCCTTACCCAGAATGTTGGTCTTCTTTATGTTGGAAGTTTTGACAGACCTTTTGCACATATTAAGGTATGATTAACAAGATTTTTGGGTTTACCTAAAAGTCATTAAGATCTTGTATATTTCTTGAAATTTCAGAATACTTCAGATGAATTAATATCATTTCAAGAAAAATGAAAAATATTGTAATTTTCATCGTGCTCGTCATGTTCTGGGATTATTTCCAGTGACATTTATGTATTTAGCTTGTCAAAAAAATTGAATGTTTTCTATCATCTTGTTTGATTAATTTTGACACTAGGTTAATTATCAGAAACAAAATGTTTATTTTTTAGGTTACTTTCTCAGTGACATTTCAAAACAAAGCCATCTTTTCAACTCCTAATCTTTCAAGTGATTTTGGACAGGGAAGACATGGCATTAGAAAGCACAAGAAAATATTTTCCCAACATTATTAGACTTTGTTATAAAGGACATATAACACTTCCCAAAACATTCATCTTTTGTGATTTTAATGATTCTATTTTTCAGCTGAACTTTAAGTAGATCTCCTGTTTCTAACAGCTGATTGCTAGTGAAGCTTTGGGAAAGCATACTGGTTTGGGTGAAAATTTAATTGTGGAGTTTCCTGAGGGTAAAGAGAGATCCTCCCAGAAAAGCCATTAGCACAGTTTTGCATTCACCTGAGATGAGATGTGAAATCTGATTTTGGAGTGTGGGCTGGAGTCTAGGTTTTGCATATTGTAAATGAGTGTCGTAATCAATCAATCTGAGGTTGGTTATTTTCAATCTGTCTTGTTTTCATGAAACAGTTAAAGGGTCTCATTTATATTGTACATTGAAATGCAAACATTTTCAAGATTTCAATGTTTTAATTATTTGGCCAGCTCTAATAAATTAATTTTCTCTCTCTCTCTCTCTTCCCCTTCCCCCCACAAACTATTGATACTTTTAAATCAAAACCCAAGTTTTAAGAATTTATTCAAAAAACATAGGAAACATGTACTATCTTCCTACATCCCTAAATTTATATCATTTAACTGATTTGACTTCCAAACTATTTTAAGTGTTCCTCTCTGAAACCTTATATGGCAAGATGTTTCATCTCAGGTGAATGTTTATATCCTAAAGTGTAACTCTTTCCAAAATAGTGTTTGCATCAATGAAAATGTTCAATAGAATCTTAATTTATATAAAAAAGTGGCCATTCTGTAAGTATCTGGATGCCTCAGGAAGAAAACATAAAACATTAGAAAAATGGTTGAAGTAACGCATCTGAAAACTATCCTAAAAAAGTTAATTGTTGGAGGTCAGTCCTTTGTAATCTGTTCCACCCTGTGGAGGGCTGCCCTTGACTCCATCTAATCCCATTAACCTAGTATCAGCACCATCGCTCATACCTCATCGCTCTCCCCCAATATCACCTGACAAGTGTAAGGTGGGTGGGAAGAGATATTGTCTCATTATACTGGACATTATCAGCTGACCTCATTCCCTGATTTCTTTAGGAGACGTTTGCTCATAATTCATAGATTCAGTTCTCATTAATCAGGGAATCCAACACACTATTGAAATATTATTTGCACTGGATACTTGTTATGTTGTGACAACATGATTTTTACAGCCTAACCACAGGGTCCTTGGACTGATGTGAGGAAGATGGGAAAAAATTGACACTGGGCCTAGGCCAGTCTGGCAATAAAAGGACTCCCAAAAAGGCATCTAGTGTGATGCCCACAGCAGGATCCAAAATAACAATCTTACTCTCATCTCAAGAAAAGAAAGCAGGCAGCTTTTCCCACACAGAACAAGACCCCAGAACTAGTGGAGGAGTTTATAAGCCTACTCAGTGTCAGTGTAGGAGCCAGTAAGCTCATCCTGTACCCTTGTGTCTACATTTCTAAAGTTTCAGGCAGTTTGATGTCGTAGCTAGAGCAGATCCAAATCTAGAATGCCTTATCCTGGCATTCAAGTAGCACCATGTATTCCAGGTGTTTTCACCTCCATGATTGTACAAGATACTCTGTAAGCATCTCTCTCTTCCAAGTCATAAGTCTAATTTTCAAGAAATAGAGATTGACCTAATGTAACATACTTACCTTTTAAATTAATATAAAGGCCTCTTCATGGTTTTTATCATGTGAAACCCATCAAAATAGTGTCTGATTATGGGAGTCAGGCAAAGGAAGGCTCTCCTATCTGTTACCTTACAAGAAAAAGTAGAGAACTCGTTTCATTTCAACCATTGAGCTGGTCCCAATAAATAATGGTTTTGTATTTTATCCTGTTGAAAATGCCTCTGTACTTTTTATAACCCTATACCAAAATGTTTTTCCTAGATTATTTAACCCTTCTTCATCTTAGGTATCAGTTATTGAGAGTTATTAATTAAAATTATTTAATATAGATCTTTGTTCATTGATGCTTATGAATTCTCTGTTTGTAGCCTAAACCCTTTGAAAGATCTGAACACTGGATGGTGTACTCTCAACATTGGAGTATACAGCATCATTAGGTTTTTTCCAGTCCCTACTTCATGGTTTTCTTTTCTATCTATGTCTACTTATATGTCACTATATTTTCCATTAAAAAATTTCATCTTACAACGAACATGCAGATTTTGTGTTAAAAAAAGGCTTGCAGGGTATGATTGTTCCCATATTTAGATTTAACCTTCCAGGTAACCCTCAATCAGCCCATGCATGCCACATCAGCTGCTTTCCACCATCCGCATTTTACTTTATGGACCACACCAGAGCCACCACTGCTTGTTCCTCAAGTTAGAACTCTTCTAGGAATATTTGTGTACTGCTTATCTCTTTGCTTGGCTCTACTTACGGGCAGTAGAGATAACAAATGGGGTAAAAAAGGGCTTGAAGGATGGAACAGGAATTGCTGGGAGTACTAGTGTTGAACTTTTTGTGATCTGGGCCTGCAGCATAAAGGTGAGCTCCAAACATGTTGCAGTATGGAGCAGGGAAGAATGAAAGTGGCAGTACAGTCAACCTCATGTTGAACTTCTTGACAGTTTCTGGCATTTAGCTGTCCTCCCACTGGTGGTGAAGCTAGGGGCTTTTAGTATTGGTGGTTGGTAGGCAGGGGTATAGGGTGGTATTTAGCTTGACCCAGACGATCAGTGTAGATGATACTCTTAGTTAATACTTACAAGAGACAGCCTTATTTATTTGCTAAATTATTTGTAGACTATAGAGAAAAGTTGGAAGTTCTTGTGCCTGTATCCAAAGAATGTCAAAGTAGGGCAAACTGTGGAAGTTGAAGTTAGGATCTTGCATGTGTTTGTGTACTTGAAGGGAAATGTAGTGTAGTCTACAAGGGCTGAAGCACTCTTTAAAACGGGGCTGTCCAGTTGGTGGTTTGTGGACCCTGTGTAGCCTGCACAGGCTAACATAGAGCCCCTGGGCTCCTACCCAGTCACCTCTCCCGGCATCACTCTAGTTATAGCAGAGGCAAGTTCTTTGAGTTCCCCATTTCTTCTCTGACTTACGCTTCCTGCCACTCTCAGCAGTAGCATGATACAGCCCACAGTGCCAGGGGAGATGGCATCTCAGAGTGCCTCTGCAGTGTGGCAAAACTCGCACTCCGCTCCCAGCAGTGGGTTGTGGCAAAAAAAGGTTGGGAGCCACTGCTACATACCTTCGGATCCATAAGGGCATAGCTTCATTAGGTGATTGCTCATTTTAGGGGTCGTGTATCCACCAAGGGTGTGCATATAACTAACAAATGTAGGTCTTTGCATTCAGTTGTCTCTATGAATGTTTGTTGCTGATAAGTAAACTTTATTTAATTTTTCTTCCTTCAGTAAGTCCAGCCTTTTCTTCCTTCAGCAGTCCAGCCTTACTGCATGGTTCCTAACAATCCTATCTGAAACATCTGAGAGCCAAAGTGAACATGTTTGTTACTATGTTACTATGTAATCTGTGTAAAGCAGAATATCCACTAACTTTGAGTTGAAGGAAATCTGCTTTTGCTTCAGTCTTTTCTGTTAATGTAAACTAGCAACTCATCACTCATCATCTTACTGTTGACATCCTTCATTTTCATGCCATCCCAAGTGTTTTCCACTTTAGCGTACTTGATATAGACCAAATTGACCATCCATGTATTTGAACCCATTCATTGTAGCCTTTATAATCTTACAGTTTTCAAAACAATCTTTGCATAGATAATACTTTTGGTTTGAGGATTAAGCAATTACAGACCTTCATATCCAATATTAATACACAAAACCCACTATGTTGCTTGTCAAATAAGGTCAGTCTATACATAAATAGAGAGAGCTCCTTATACAAGTACCTCTTTCTAGCAATGAATAGAGTTGGTTTTCCAGAACCGTGTAATATTTAAAGATAATGTAAGGGGTTTCTGGTCTGATAATGGTTGGCAAGTTTGAGGAAGAAAAGGGCTGAAATACTGCCATTGCTTCTGGGGCAGATTTATCCATTATAGATTTTCTGTGATTTTTATGGTGGTTGTATGCCTATGCATGGAAGTTTTTAGTTACATTTTTAGTTTCTTGCTCTTGAGTTTTTTGAGGCATGCTATGTACAAATGAACAATACAGTAATTGAATATTTTTGCTAAATAAATTATTGAATAAATTAAGAAATTGTTCATCACATCTCTTTTTTTATTCTTTTTAATATTGCCAAGATTAAATGGTACCATATAGATGATTGATCCTTATGTTGTACCTGGAATGCAGTACCTGGCTTCTGAACTTAGTATTGGTATTCGTTACATGGCAGGGCACAAAGCATGCCTTCCTCAGATCTTATAAATCTATTGCATCTGATAGCAGGTAGGCCAGAAACAGCACAGAAGAAATTGTATCGTCCCAGAGTGTACTGTTCTAGCTTTCTTGGCTAGAACAGAGAAGTTACATGGAGTTTTTCCTTGTAGTGGTTTATTCTCCCATGCATTTTCTGAGACATTACAGGCTTCGTGTTTTGCCTATGAGCACAGAATTTAGTCTAGTATTCTTGAGGCTGTCAACCAATGTTGATGTTTGTTCGGGCTTTTTTATAGCTTAATTCTGCATTGTTTGAGCA